ATGGTGCTATTTGCCACAGTGTTGGATACTGTAGATTGACTTGCTCATCTTCAAATCCACACTCCTGCTGTGCCTTTCTTTCTATAAAAGCTGTTAGACTATCAATGGGATTTTTAGACTTCTTTGCAGCTTGTTCTGGATATGCCTTAGTTTCTGCAAATAAAGTACACTTGCACAATTTGGAATGTAACCTAAATGTTTTATGTCTTTTCTTGGTTGTGTATATGTTGGTAAACACAATCATGAAAATGTGACATTTTCTGTAGTAGCATTTCATAACCCTATCTCCAGCTTCCTATGGTGTTTGAAACAATTTCAGCGGAGATGGTGGCCATACTTCAGTGCCCAGTAAATGGCTTTGCGGTATTTGATGGGCATTTGTGCTGATCATAGAGGCTTCCAGATCCAGGTATCTTATCCCTGAAGTTGGCTGTTGCTCTGTTTTCACAAATTCAAAAGTTTCATGGTAGGACAGAAATACTATTTCTACTGCAGGGTAAGTTCTGTAGTGCTCTAAGAATAATTTCTGGAGTCTCAGATTAAAGCCTTCCTCTCTTGCCTTCCTAGTAATTTTCTTGACTCCTAAATATCTGTATGTCTTAAAATACCTAGAGTGGTTTTTGTTTCCTGACCTGAACTGCAACTGATTTAATCCTTTACTAAAAATGTATATGACTGGCAAAGTCAGGATGGTATTACCACAGGGATATGTGGCAGAGACCAATATCCATTCTTCTTTCTCTTAGTAACTGAAGATCCTAGTTTTTCTTAGCCAGGCTAAGACTTCACTTCTTAGCTCTGCCGCAGCTACCAGTGCTCATATAACTACATCTTAGCTAATGAGAGGTAAACAGAACTGATGTATGTCACTTTCTGGTGATGTCCTTGCCTGTTTCTCTTCTCTATTGACTGAGAAACAGATGTAGTCATGGAAAGTGGAGAAGTCACCTTGGGCCCAAAGATGAAAAATTCTTGTTGATGATGGCAAAGCTGCCCTGCCAGCCTGAGATTTACTACATTTGGATGGCAACATTAAGATATAAAATAAGCCTCTTTCTGCCTTAACCATATTTTTGCTCCTCCTCCCCCCTTTCATTTACAGTGGCTTATACTGTGACCTAAACTAATACAAGAAATACATGAACTCTGAAGTTTAAGGTCAAGTCAGAAAATGACTGCATGTTACTCTATTAACAGGTACTCTTCCTATAAACATATACCATATATTTATAGGAATGACTTAGAGTAGCTTATCTACAATTCTTATATTAAGAGTTGAGTAAAGTACCTAAATACACAGAGTTGAGTAAAGTACTTAAAAACTGCGGTAAGTCAAATATTCAAAAACAAAGTTCAGTTATACTTTAGAATGAATGTATTAAAACCTTGCTTTCAAAGAGTGAGCTTCTTGTCTTACTTGCATACTGTTAGAAGAATCGATAGACAAGATAGGACTGTAGCTCATAGGCTAATTCAGAATATTCTTTAGGCTAAGTTAGGTGAGATCACTACACGAACTCTGTACATAAAGAAAAACAGACATCAATACTAATTCAAATTCTTTATCCAGGACATTGGAGCATGCTGAACACTAATATTCTAGGTAAATGGTCAAAGCTATGTGAGACATTTAGAAGAATTTTTCATCAGAAAGATTTTGGTTTTCATACCAAATGACAATATCCCTCTGGGAAAAAGCACAGTCCATTCTGAATAGGGAAATCTTAGATATAAAGAAGGTTTTAATATCAGTGTTTGAGGTTTATATTCTCATTTCACTCTGATTTATTGTATATTAAAAAAGAACCAGTTTCAAAACTTTGAAAATTTGAAATGCTTTACTACTCTCTTATTAGATTTTGTAAGTCAGACTTGACCAAGTTCTATTAAATATTCAATTCAAAGCTGTAGAAATGAGCAACAACTTCCCCAAATTTAAGGCCTTTGTTAGTCTTTTACATGCATTATCTCATCACAAGTTAATGAGTCCCAAGCACCTTTTATGCCCACAGTCTAGTTTCTGTTTTTAGTTAAAGCAAACATATAAAACCATGTTTTAGGTAACTGACCTTGCTACTGCAGCCATGTATGTTAGGAACAAAAATCAGTTCCTTGGCAAAAGTCCACGGACATAAGGAAGACCAGCAGTTTATGCCATCATCAGAAACTCATCCTATCAGGAACAATAGGTATCGGATAATGGGATGATATCTAATTGATCCAGAGTCTGTAGCATATAGCATTCCTTTGGAAACAGACTCCAAGAATCTGAGATTTGTATGCAGACTTATTGTGTGTTCTTGGAGACAGTATCTGGTAGACCTTTGGGAAGTAAAATTAGGAATAAGAAGTTCAGCTGTAATGCCCTTGCAGCAGAGGCTTCAGGAATCACATGAGGAGTTCTGAAACTGGGATGCTTTAGAATTGTTCCAACCGAGACACAAAAGATGGCCTATTAGATACCGATTACATAGACCAGTCATCAGACATGAGCCTTCCTGAGGGAGGAGGGTAACTTTGAGCATGACCACTTCCTTCTTCCAAGGCAATTCCTGAAGAGGGACTCAGCTTTAAAATATCAGCAGCCAAAATCCCAAGGAGAGGGGGGAATAAGTGCTTTGTCCTGAAGAGATATGGTCTATGTATCAAGGCATCCTCTATAGAGTATTAGGGAGTTTATTTATTTATTTATTTATTTATTTATTTATTTATTTATTTAAAATTCAAGTTTGTTAACATACAGTGTATCACTGGTTTCTGGAGCAGGATCCAGGGATTCATCACCCACAGATCACATCCAGTGCTCATCCCAACAAGTGCCCTCCTTAATGTCCATCACTCATTTAACCAATCCCTTTACCCACCTCCCCTCCAGCAACCCTGTTTGTTCTCTATGGTTTGCCTTAGGGTGTTTAAATGCAGGTGGGATTAAGAAAAAACAGTCAGAAGCAATAGAAGCAGAGATGATAAAGACAAATTGTATGATGAAACTGAGAGAATCATTATAATATGGACAACAAAGTAATTAAGTTGCTAAAACAGTTTTGGGATATCTTGAGAGGTCTTTAATGAGGATGATATTTCAGTTCTTCATAAACACTAACTTTGCTGAGGCAATTGTGTTTCCCCTTTTCTTACAATCTGAAAAAGCAAATCTAAAAAATAGATCTTAGGTATTCAACTTTGAAGTACATTTTATTCAAGAATATTTTATAAGAACATGCACAGAAACTTTCTCTGAAAAATATTAAAGACTTTTGGAGAGGTTAGAATTTTGCTTATTTACCTTAAGTTACAAATTTTATCTTCCTGTTGAATTAAATAGTGTTCTAAAAATTATGAAGTGGCATGCTATGTCCCTATCTTTTTTCCTTAAGTTTTATTTTTGCTGACAAAAATATAACTTCCACAGCTTTCTTTTGGATAATATTCATCTGGTTTATCTTTCCCCATCTTTTTAGTCCTAATTTTTCTGTTTTTAGGGTTTTGGTAAATAGCATATAGTTGGTTTTTTAATTATTTTTTTAAAAGATTTATTTACTTGAGAGTGCATGCACATGTGTGCACATGCAGGCAGGGTAAGGGGCAGAGGGAAAGAAACTCAAGCAAACTTCCTTTAGCAGGGAGCCCACTGCTCAATCCCACAGATCATGACCTGAGCCAAAACCAAGAGTTGAACACTTAACTGAGCCACCCAGGCATCCTATAGTTGGTTATTTTTTTTTTTTAAATTTTTTATTTATTTATGATAGTCACAGAGAGAGAAAGAGAGGCAGAGACATAGGCAGAGGAAGAAGCAGGCTCCATGCACCGGGAGCCTGACGTGGGATTTGATCCCGGGTCTCCAGGATCGCGCCCTGGGCCAAAGGCAGGCGCCAAACCGCTGCGCCACCCAGGGATCCCAGTTGGTTATTTTAATATCCAGTCTGATAATTCTTATAGGAGGACGACTGAATTTATTTATATTTATCAGTATTTTAGACTTTGTCTATCATGTATCTTTGTATATTTCAATTTTTCCTATTTTTCTTATGCTTCTGTTTTATCTTTTTTTTTCTTAAAATATTATTTATTTATTTGAGAGAGAGAGAGCGAGTGGAAGAGTGCACACAAGCAGTAGGAGGGAAGCAGAATGAGAGGCAGAAGCAGATTTCCTGCTGAGCAGGGAGCCTGACATGGGGCTTGATCCCAGGACCCCGGGATCCTGACCTGAGCTGAAAGTAGATGTTTAACCAACCAAGCCACCCAGGCATCCCTCTTTCTTTACTTTTTAAAAAAATGATTGGGACTTTTTGCTTTTCTCTCATTTTTTTGCTTCCGTTTTTTGAATCTAAATTCTCTAATTTTGTAATGGTTATATTTGAAATTTTACTATGCCTACCTAACCAATATCTTAAAACTTCATTTAGAAAAATACAAGAATTGAATACTTCAACCTATTATTAGGCTTCCTACTTACACATGATTATTCATTGTATTTTAGTGCTATGCATTTTTATCTTCACAAATTAGAATATTATAGGTTATTATTATTTTATACAGACAATATTCATTGCGATTTACTTAAATGCATTACCACCCTCACTTGCTGTTCAACTATCTTCCCTTGCGTCTCAGACACTCTATTAAGGTTGTTTTTCTTCTTCCTAAGTTATATCCTTTAGAACGATGGTTCTCAATCTGTGCAGTTCAAATCATCCATGCTTCCCAAGATGATATTTTATAAATACGGGGGGGACATTTTGTTAGCACAATGAACAGATGGCAGTTACCGGCATTTATAGTGTGACCTAGGGATGTTGAACATCTTGAATCACACGCCCGACAATCTCCCACACAAAAGAATTGTTTTGGTTGCTACACGACTCCCAATGATTCTGTTGGACACATTCAAGTATGTGAAAAAGTCTTGATAAGTGTTTGAGTATAGGAATGCGTTCCACCTTATATAAAAATATTTTAACACACTGAATTTTCCAGGAATGCAAACACTACATAAATCAAGGAAAGACTGATTTTATTTTGTTCTGGATTTTCACCATAATGGCTTGCTAATTCAGAAGAATCACATCACTCATAGCTATGCTCATCTTGGATGTCTGAGGTGCCAACATAAATCCTCTGTCTTAATCTACACATGTAGCTGTCACATGCTGGGGATTCTATGCACGTGCACACACACGCTTACATACTGAGTTTTATACAAATGAAGTTACAAGTGTGCCTACCCTGGTAGTATGTTTCTTCTTTTTCTTTTTTAATTTTTATTTATTTATGATAGTCACAGAGAGAGAGAGAGAGAATGAGAGAGAGAGAGAGAGAGGCAGAGACACAGGCGGAGGGAGAAGCAGGCTCCATGCACCGGGAGCCCCATGTGGGATTCGATCCCGGGTCTCCAGGATCGCGCCCTGGGCCAAAGGCAGGCGCTTAACCGTTGCACCACCCAGGGATCCCCTGTTTTTTCTTAATGTAGTAGTGAGACCATCAAGATTAAGCATACTTTTTTTTTTTTTTTAACCAAGAAACATGCTGCCACAGTTGGCAAGGACATAGTATACTTTTACCCTTGAAGTAACAGCACAGGTATCAAGGGAATCGCTGATCCTGGCTAACACGTGAAGCGTACCAGCTGTTATTGAAGGAGAAGTATACACTGCAAGCTAGGTAAAGGAGAATTCATTGGCATTAAAGCACTCTTCAGCGGCTCGGGACTATTCATTCCATGGACACCAGGATCGGATCCCAATGTTACCTTGGACATGACCAGGGTCTGGGGATTTATCTAGATAGGGGGCTGGATGAAGGTCTATCGGTATCCACTGCAGCTTCTTGCACAGGCTCCCCACAGCGTCACTAGGGAATCCACTTGTGAGTCCATGCAAGCTTCATCTCTAACTCGTAAACGTGTCAAATGCGGCCCTTTCCGTTGTGGCCTATTTGCTTCTGCAGCCTCCTCTGCTCCTCTTTCTAACCGTACTGGCTCCAGGACCGGCATAGGTGATGCTTCTCTCTTCGCTTCTTTCCTGGACTCCTTCACTGGGTTAAAAGAGGGCTCTGCATTTCCGCAACACACCTACCTGGCGCATTTCTTTCTCTAACATCACACTGAACTGCGCTGTGGTGAAAACGCGGACATCTTTTTGTGCCTGACTACGAGCGCGTCTTCTCCACAGCTCCTGGCAAGGCGCTCGGTAAGGGGAACGGGTCACTAGATGTTGGCTGTGAAAATAAAAACGACAGCAACGTCACATTTCGGTGCCGCTCACGTGATTAAAACGTTTCGGCTCCTCTTCCGTTTCCCAACTCTTTCCCTTCGTTCTCGGTTCCCTCCCACCTACGAACCCGAGGCCAAGGACAGGCAAGCGCACCTGACGCCTCCCTCAGGAGCCCAGCAGCTCTCCCAAGCGGCACTCCCTCCCGCCTAGGAAGCCACGTCAACGCGCTGACGTCACGCGCGCCGCTGGCGTCCCGCCGTCAGGCCCGCCCATCAAAGCTTTCCGGGATCTCTCTCTCTCTTTTTTTTTTCTTGCGGTCAGCGGGGACAGCTTGAACTGCGGTCGCACGGAAGGCCGGCAACGACGAGTTCCAAAGGCGGGTCCTTGGGGACTCCTGCTTCCTCAGAGTAAGGCGGCTTGTTTCCCAGAGACGCACGGGCGGCCGAGGGCCCGCCCCCAAGCGCCGGCCGCGGTCTCCCGGGGAACGACGCGGCGCGCGGGCCGGAGCTGGGTGGGGGCGCGCGTGCGCAGTGCGCGTGCGCAGTGCCGCGGCTTTTGCGCAGATCGGGAGGGACGGGCGTGTGCGCTGCTTTCTTGCAGGGAGGATGGCCCAGTCCTCGGGCGAGGACGCCGTGGTGCTGCAGGCGATGCTGAGGCAGCTGTTCCAGAGCGTGAAGGAGAAGATCACGGGGGCTCCCTCCCTCGAGTGCGCCGAGGAAATCCTCGTACACCTGGAGGAAACTGATGAAAACTTTCACAAGTAAAAAAAGCTTTTTGCTGTCTTCAGCCGACAAACCTTCCCCGCCCGATCCAGAGAAGGGCCAAGTGTAGTTAGAGGATGTTCGATTATTGTCGTTAAAATAGCGCCCGAGCCGGAGGTTCTTTTTGGTTCGTTTACACAAATGCCGAATTTAATGTTTTATTTATTCTTTACCTACTCTTCCAAAGCTGCTGCCGCCCCAGTGTGTGTAGTGCCACAGCCCGCCTGTCCTAATTCTTCATTTTTCCTCATGGGCAGTTCAGTAGCGCTCGTGGCGAAGCGTTCACGTTCTTCCAAGAGCGTTCAGTCAGTCCCCGAGATCTCCCTTGCTGTGCCCTGAGGTCTTCCAGGGGTTGCACCGGTTGCCCATTCTGAGCACGGCAGGGAATACTGAAGTGAGTTTTTTTTTTTTTTTTTTTTTTTTTTTTAGGAAAAGATTTTATTTATTTATTCATGAGAGTCACTGAGAACAGCAGAGACATAGGCGGAGGGAGAAGCAGGCTCCTCACGGGGAGCCCCATGCGGGACTCATCCCAGGACCCCGGGGTCAGGCCCTGAGCGGAAGGCAGACGCTCAACCGCTGAGCCCTCCAGGCGCCCCTGAGGTGACATAATTTCTTTCCTGTGGAAAAGCTTGAGTTCTTACAAAGGGAGAAGCCGCATACTCAAGTGTCCTGGTACAGGCAGAAATACAAGTGCTGCAGAAGGTCTACAGAGTGCTCGATGTGGGAGCAGTAGAGTTTTGAGTTTGAAGGAGAGACGTGCCCTTTTGAGATTTTTCTGGAAGGTTATTTTTCTTTAGATACGTTTTTTCCCTTTGTTTTGGTTTAATTTAAGTTAATCATCTCCTTTGAAAAGTCTTGTTGCAGGTACCTCAATTATCACTGGCAGAAGTATTTTTTTTTTTTTATAAATTAATTTTTATTGGTGTTCAATTTACCAACATACAGAATAACACCCAGTGCTCATCCCGTCAAGTGTCCCCCTCCGTGCCCGTCACCCATTCACCCCCACCCCCCGCCCTCCTCCCCTTCCACCACCCCTAGTTCATTTCCCAGAGTTAGAAGTCTTTATGTTCTGTGTCCCTTTCTGATATCTCCCACACATTTCTTCTCCCTTCCCCTCTATTCCCCTTCACTATTATTCATATTCCCCAAATGAGTGAGAACATACACTGTTTGTCCTTCTCCGATTGACTTACTTCACTCAGCATAATACCCTCCAGTTCCATCCACGTTGAAGCAAATGGTGGGTATTTGTCGTTTCTAATGGCTGAGTAATATCCATTGTATACATAACCCACATCTTCTTTATCCATTCATCTTTCGATGGGCACCGAGGCTCCTTCCACAGTTTGGCTATTGTGGACATGGCTGCTAGAAACATCGGGGTGCAGGTGCCCCGGCGTTTCATTGCATCTGAATCTTCGGGGTAAATCCCTAACAGTGCAATTGCTGGGTCGTAGGGCAGGTCTATTTTTAATTCTTTGAGGAACCTCCACACAGTTTTCCAGAGTGGCTGCACCAGTTCACATTCCCACCAACAGTGTAAGAGGGTTCCCTTTTCTCCGCATCCTCTCCAACATTTGTTGTTTCCTGCCTTATTAATTTTCCCCATTCTCACTGGTGTGAGGTGGTATCTCATTGTGGTTTTGATTTGTATTTCCCTGATGGCAAGTGATGCAGAGCATTTTCTCATGTGCATGTTGGCCATGTCTATGTCTTCCTCTGTGAGATTTCTCTTCATGTCTTTTGCCCATTTCATGATTGGATTGTTTGTTTCTTTGGTGTTGAGTTTAATAAGTTCTTTATAGATTTTGGAAACTAGCCCTTTATCTGATATGTTATTTGCAAATATCTTCTCCCATTCTGTAGGTTGTCTTTGAGTTTTGTTGACTGTATCCTTTGCTGTGCAAAAGCTTCTTATCTTGATGAAGTCCCAATAGTTCATTTTTGCTTTTGTTTCTTTTGTTTTCGTGGATGTATCTTGCAAGAAGTTACTGTGGCCAAGTTCAAAAAGGGTGTTGCCTGTGTTCTCCTCTAGGATTTTGATGGAGTCTTGTCTCACATTTAAATCTTTCATCCATTTTGAGTTTATCTTTGTGTATGGTGCAAGAGAGTGGTCTAGTTTCATTCTTCTGCATGTGGATGACCAATTTTCCCAGCACCATTTATTGAAGAGACTGTCTTTCTTCCAGTGGATCGTCTTTCCTCCTTTGTCGAATATTAGTTGACCATAAAGTTCAGGGTCCATTTCCGGATTCTCTATTCTGTTCCATTGGTCTATGTGTCTGTTTTTGTGCCAGTACCACACTGTCTTGATGACCACAGCTTTGTAGTACAACCTGAAATCTGGCATTGTGATGCCCCCAGCTATGGTTTTCTTTTTTAAAATTCCCCTGGCTATTCGGGGTCTTTTCTGATTCCACACAAATCTTAAAATAATTTGTTCTAAGTCTCTGAAAAAAGTCCATGGTATTTTGATAGGGATTGCATTGAACGTGTAAATTGCCCTGGGTAGCATTGACATTTTCACAATATTAATTCTGCCAATCCATGAGCATGGAATATTTTTCCATCTCTTTGTGTCTTCCTCAATTTCTTTCAGAAGTGTTCTATAGTTTTTAGGGTATAGATCCTTTACCTCTTTGGTTAGGTTTATTCCTAGGTATCTTATGCTTTTGGGTGCAATTGTAAATGGGATTGACTCCTTAATTTCTCTTTCTTCAGTCTCATTGTTAGTGTATAGGAATGCCATTGATTTCTGGGCATTGATTTTGTATCCTGCCACGCTACCAAATTGCTGTATGAGTTCTAGCAATCTTGGGGTGGAGGCTTTTGGGTTTTCTATGTAGAGTATCATGTCATCGGCGAAGAGGGAGAGTTTGACTTCTTCTTTGCCAATTTGAATGCCTTTAATGTCTTTTTGTTGTCTGATTGCTGAGGCTAGGACTTCCAATACTATGTTGAATAGCAGTGGTGAGAGTGGACATCCCTGTCTGGTTCCTGATCTTAGGGGAAAGGCTCCCAGTGCTTCCCCATTGAGAATGATATTTGCTGTGGGCTTTTTGTAGATGGCTTTTAAGATATCGAGGAAAGTTCCCTCTATCCCTACACTCTGAAGAGTTTTGATCAGGAATGGATGCTGTATTTTGTCAAATGCTTCTCTGCATCTAATGAGAGGATCATATGGTTCTTGGTTTTTCTCTTGCTGATATGATGAATCACATTGATTGTTTTACGAGTGTTGAACCAGCCTTGTGTCCCGGGGATAAATCCTACTTGGTCATGGTGAATAATTTTCTTAATGTGTTGTTGGATCCTATTGGCTAGTATCTTGTTGAGAATTTTTGCATCCATGTTCATCAGGGATATTGGTCTGTAATTCTCCTTTTTGGTGGGGTCTTTGTCTGGTTTTGGAATTAAGGTGATGCTGGCCTCATAGAATGAATTTGGAAGTACTCCATCTCTTTCTATCTTTCCAAACAGCTTTAGTAGAATAGGTATGATTTCTTCTTTAAACGTTTGATAGAATTCCCCTGGGAAGCCATCTGGCCCTGGACTCTTGTGTCTTGGGAGGTTTTTGATGACTTCTTCAATTTCCTCCCTGGTTATTGGCCTGTTCAGGTTTTCTATTTCTTCCTGCTCTAGTTTTGGTAGTTTGTGGCTTTCCAGGAATGCGTCCATTTCTTCTAGATTGCCTAATTTATTGGCGTAGAGCTGTTCATAATATGTTTTTAAAATCGTTTGTATTTCCTTGGTGTTGGTAGTGATCTCTCCTTTCTCATTCATGATTTTATTAATTTGAGTCTTCTCTCTCTTCTTTTTAATAAGGTTGGCTAATGGTTTATCTATCTTATTAATTCTTTCAAAGAACCAACTCCTGGTTCTATTGATCTGTTCCACAGTTCTTCTGGTCTCAATTTCGTTGAGTTCTGCTCGAATTTTAATTAACTCTCTTCTTCTGCTGGGCGTCGGGTCGATTTGCTGCTTCTTCTCTAGCTCCTTTATGTGTAAGGTTAGCTTTTGTATTTGAGTTCTTTCCAGTTTTTGAATGGATGCTTGTATTGCGATGTATTTCCCCCTCAGGACTGCTTTTGCTGCATCCCAAAGATTTTGAACAGTTGTATCTTCATTCTCATTAGTTTCCATGAATCTTTTTAATTCTTCCTTAATTTCCTGGTTGACCCTTTTATCTTTTAGCAGGATGGTCCTTAACCTCCACGTGTTTGAGGTCCTTCCAAACTTCTTCTTGTGATTGAGTTCTAATTTCAAGGCGTTATGGTCTGAGAATATGCAGGGGACGATCCCAATCTTTTGGTATCGGTTCAGACCCGATTTGTGACCCAGTATGTGGTCTATTCTGGAAAAAGTTCCATGTGCACTTGAGAAGAATGTGTATTCAGTTGAGTTTGGATGTAAAGTTCTGTAGATATCTGTGAAATCTATCTGGTCCAGTGTATCATTTAAAGCTCTCGTTTCTTTGGAGATGTTGTGTTTA